TTGTCCGAATAAATGGATCGTGGAAGCCCGCGACGAGCGCAGAACCGCGTATAGGCGTTGAGGAACGCGTGAGACGAATAATCGGAGACAAGCTCCAAATGAATAGCGCGTGACGACAAGCAAACGAACAGAGCTATGTAGGCCTTTCGCGAAGTGATCCCGCGTCCCGCGGAAGCGCGAACAGAGACGGGCCCGACATAATCAAGGCCGCAGTGAGTAAAACTGCGAGGAGGGGCCGTCACACGTATTGCGGGGAGGCTTCCCATAAGCTGCGTCGGAACAGTAGCTCGTTCGCGTGTGCATGCGATGCACTTGTGTATGATAGCCTTAGCGATGGTCCGCGCGCGAAGGACCCAGAATTCCCGTCGCAAAATTGACAAAGTGAGTTGCAAGCCGGCATGCAATCCTCGCAAATGAGTTTGTTTGACGATTAACTTTACGAGAGGATGATCGGCTAGCAGGATTGGATGTTGAGAGATCGATGGGAAACAGGCGCGCTGAAGCCGCCCGCCAACTCGCAACAACCCGTCGCGATCAAGAAACGGTGCGAACGAGAGAATGGAACTCTTTCGTGATAATCGGCGCTGCTGCTCCAGATCGCGGATTTCCGCAGCGAAAAGCTCGTGCTCAATCCGTCGGAGCCAAAATATTCGAGCGGCTTCGAACTCCTGTGCGGATAAGAAAGGCTGGATTTTATTTGCGACTTCAGTCTGTCGAGCGGGCCTTCGACACCGAGCTATAAAACGAAGCACGTACGAAGTCACGCGGAAAAGCTTCGGCCATGAGGAATATTTCTCCCTCAAGTCCCAGTTGTCAGAGGGCGGTGGAGCCGTTGAGGAGGAGAATAAGTGCACGTTTGCTTCGAGAGAAGCCGAATCCGGAGGCAACGCTATGGAACGCGGCCATCGGTTGCTCGGAAATGCCAACCAACTAGACCCGTGCCACCATAATGGATGGGAAAGGAGATCGTCGCCCAACAGACCACGCGATCCGCCGGGTTGTCAGCCGTCGTGACGTACCTCCACTTCGTCCCTGGAAGACGCTGCTGGATGTCAGCTACGCGATTGGCAACGAACGTCCTCCACCGGGAAGGATGTTGGCGGAGCCAGGCCAGAACGACCGTGGAATCGGACCAACAGAAACACGGCAGATCGTTTATTGCGAGAGTCGATTTAACGAAATTGATGAGACGAGCGAGCAGCGCAGCACCCAACAATTCTAATCAAGGTATGCTGAGCGGCTTCAAAGGAGCAACTCTCGATTTACCTAGTAATAAGCTGATAGTGACGGTCTGAGAGGAATCGACGACCTTTAAATACACGGCGGCAGCATATGCGACGGTTGATGCATCCGCGAATCCGTGGAGCTCGAGCTCACAATCAGCGGTGAACCCGGACCACCGCGGCAGTCTCAGGTTACTCAACCGCGAAATACCGTCGCAGATTTGTTGCCAGCGACAGGATAGCGAGGGCGGAATCGGCTCGTCCCATGAGAGTCCATTTCTCCAAAGTGTCTGCATCAAAACTTTGGCAGAGAGAATCACAGGGGTGACCCATCCGAGAGGATCGTATAATCGAGCGATGGCGGCAAGAATGGAACGCTTGGTGCGGAGAAGGTCATCGGACATGGACACCCGAATCTGAAAAGAATCGAGGACTGGATTCCATTCAACGCCGAGGATATTAAGATTGTCAGAGTGAGACAAGGATTTGTCGCACGCGGTTCCGTGCTCTGAGTCATCAATATCAGAAAGGAGAGCTGCTGAATTGGCTGCCCATTTCCGAAGTTCGAACCCGCCGCGACGTAATAATGAAACTAATTGATCTCGCGTGGCACGTAGAGCGTTCAAGTCGTCGTGACCGAACAGCACGTCGTCGACGTAAATATGCTCTTGCAAAATGGGCACCGCCATGGGATACCGTTCCCCTTCGTCCTGAGCTAATTGCTGAATAACGCGTAACGCGAGAAAGGGTGCACACGCCATCCCGTAAGTGACTGTGAGTAATTGATAGTCGACGGCGGATTCACGGGAGGAGTCACGCCACAAAATTCTTTGGAAATTAAGATCGCGGTCGTCTACAAGAATCTGCCTGTACATCTTCGCGATGTCGGCTGAATACACAAAGCGAAATTGACGCCAACGCAGTATCACGGCGGATAAATCCGTTTGAAGTTTGGGCCCTGTTAAAAGGTGATTATTGAGACTCGAACCGTTCGACGTGAGACTTGAAGCGTCGAACACGACACGCAGACGTGTGGTGCTGCTGGAATCACGGAAAACGGGATGGTGAGGGAGATAGACACACGGATCCGGGCGGTCCTCGGCGGCAGGCAGTTTACGCAAATGACCGAGACGCTCATACTCCCGAATAAACGCCTGATATTCAGCGAACTGCTTCTGATGTGCACCAAACCGTCGAAAGAGCGCGTTCAGCCGTTGCTCGGCTCGTTGGCGAGACTCCCCGATATCAATGGGAGGATCACGGCGAAAAGGCAACCTGACGATATAACGCCCCGTTGGCGTACGAGTATGTGTAGAGCGAAAATGCATTTCGCACTTCTCGTCGTCAGGCGTGGCAATTAAACGAGTGGGAAAGTCCTCAATTTCCCAAAATCGTCTGATTTCGTCCTTCAGTGAGGTAGTGTTGAGACAATGATAAACGGAGACGTGATGCGACATCCGAGCATCTCCAGGAGAAAGAGGTGAAGGAGGTGACGCGGGAGAGGATGGAGAGAGTGGTCCCGATATGACCCATCCGAAAATTGAATCTTGCGCGATAGGCTCGCCGAGTGAACCCTTGCGCAAGCCCCCGAGAATGACCTCCCCATACAGATCCGCGCCGAGAATGAGGTGAATAGGCTCCTTGCTCGTTGGATCCGGATCCGCAAATGCAAGGTCCGCCAAATGAGAAAACGAGGCGATATCCGCATCGCTTTGCGGAGCGTACGCGGTTAAAGAAGTTAAAATTAAAGCAGTAGTGTTAAAGGTTGGAGCGCTTACATCGCGATGAGAGACACAGATTCGAGCGGCGTACTTGAAGGTCCCGGCATCCACGCAACCGACGGCAGAAACCGACGTCGGCATTCGTATGCGTTTAACCCGTAACAATTGAGCTAGGTATTCAGAAATAAAGGACATTTCGGAGCCCTGATCTAACAAGGCTCGTATTTCTACCGAGCGACCTTCGACCACGCCAACTCTTACGCGAGCTGTCGCTAGAATAATCCGCGATGGTTTCGCTCTCATCGGAGAGGCCAACATCGAGTTCACCTCGAGTTTATTCTCCGCGCGCATTTTCGTTTGTTGACCGGGCAGGTCATTCGATAAAGAGGGTTCAGCTCGCGGGCTCGTGTGCAACAGAGAATGATGTCGCTCGTGACAGGAGCGACATGAGTATTTACTGGAGCACGATCGAACTGAATGATGTTGACTTAAACAGTTAAAGCAACGCCCGTGCCTTTTCACGAGATTACGACGCTGAACCGGACTCGCCCTTTCAAATATCGGACACGAACTAAAATAATGGTGCGCTTTACAGAGCGGACAGATTGATCCCGATGACGTTGACGCGGTCGCGACAGAAATTCTGGTAGACGATGCACGCCGATCTCCAGCCCGCGCGACGGAGACACCAGATACATCGTCGAGAACGCGCGATCGGCTGGCGAGAAATTTCTCCAATTCGGAAAAGGACGGAAGATCGTCCTGGTCCGCCGTTTTCAGCCTCCACGCCTATAGGTGATGCCGCGTCGAGCTTCTGGACTACGAGATAGACTAAAATGTCGTTCCAAAGCTCCGCCAGCGAGCGCGCAAGCCGAGTTAACGATGCGACGGCGATGTGAGCTCGATCGCGCAACACTTGAATTTCGGCAGCGGATTCGCGAGAGACCGACGGAAGGTTGAGCAAAGCCGAGAGATGGACTCGTAACAAGCGGCTTTTGTCCTCATAGCGCGCGACTAACGTGTA